CCCCCCCCCAGCTCCCTCTTTTTTTTCCAGCTTAGTAGCATATAACATTCCAACATTACTAATACCAATTATTTCTATGTTCTAGATTGCATATGAAAATATAATACTGAGTTTTCAATGTTAGGAAGTAAATCCAATGGTCCATGTACAAAGATGAGTCCAGTCAGCCACTGTGAGACCTCAGTGTAGTTACAGAAACTACACAAAATTTGGCCTCAGTGCAAAGCAAACCGTGATGTTTACCTTCTACTTCCTGCTAATCATCACAGTGTTAGCATTTCTCTTGGGATCTTTGGTCCTCAGATGTTAGAAGAGAGGTTAGCCATTTTTAGAGTCATTCTAAAAGTTGAATAGGTTAACCTTTTTATTCCTAATATGCTAACTGTTTTACACAAGGTGTCAACGGTTCCCACAGCACCAATCTGCAGAACCAGATTTGGCAGAAATGGAAGTAGAAATATGTTCTAACTGCTTTACACTACAAGCCCAAACTCCAACATCATAATGCAGGCAGAGCTTCATCAAGAGCTCAGCAGAGCTGTTTTCAACTGTCCTTGTCCCTCTGCAAGCCGAATTAAGAGTTTAAATAATGGATATTCCTGGGAACACTGTGTTCTACCGTCTTGTTTTCTTGTGTCTAGGTTGTCATGATTGCTGATTTACATACACTTTGACTCCTTGTGGCCTCATTGAGTATCCTCTGAGTCTTGTTATTGAGTCCTTTAACCATGTCCATAAACCAGTAATGAATCATGCACCTCTGCTCTCACACAGGGACAAGAGGCCCTTTTTTCCATCCTGTTCTTAAACAGAGCCCGTTTACTAAGTAGGTTAGGTGCTTTCAGGTTTTTTTTTCAGAATGGACACTCTTAAAGCTTTTCTAATGGAGAACCAGACCACAGTGCAGCAAATTTAGGTTTATTCCCAGTAGCTATGCCTTTCCCAGGCATCTTTTGTAGGCCCTGGAAAACAGTCTATGACTCACCAATAGCCTAGAAAAATAAAACTGGTTTAGATAAAAACATCCATACACAACCCCATATTCACTGAGAAATTATTTTACTTCTTTGATCTAGTCACATACAATAATCATAACCTGTTATACCTCACTATTCTCGACCCTTTATACAGAAATTCTTACAGGATGTGTAACAGTGCTATTGAGACAATGGAATAAACCACTCCACCTCCACAGAAGATAAACGCTTTTCTCCCTGATCCTGCTATCAGCTTGGCCTTCTAGATCAAGCAGTTACAGATCAGTGAGAGCTCTGAGGCAAAAGATTCCAGCTTCTAACTACAAAGCCACAGCACTGTATCTGTGTTCATGACTGCTGGTCACTGGTCTTGGCCCAGTCCATGTCAGAGAAATGCTGAAGAATTCAAAATATATTTCTGAGGAAAGGCACTGAAAAACAACATTTCCCTGTAGTCAGTTTGCCCAGTGAAGAAACAGGAGAGGCTCAATATTCCAGCCAGCTATTCTGTTTTTGAAGAAAGTAATGATCAGTACCTGGAGTGGTGAAGGGGAGCAATGGACCCCTTTGCTGAAGTAAGTAACTCCCAGATTAAAGAATACGAGATAAAGATTTTATCTCCCTCTGCCAGGAACATTAAGGAGTATCCCAGCTGTTTGAGGAGCTGCTCTGTTGAAAGCTTTCACTGGTTTGACTTTAAATTTCACATGCTGAGCTTCTTTCACCACAGATGTTCTTTGTATCTGACTTCTGGGAAGCTTTACCTAACCTAATCAGTCCTCTTTAAAATATTCTCCTGCTACTTTTGAAACTTCTTGTACTTGTTCCCTTCTTAGAGACTTCTCTTTGGCTTTGAATTTTTGTCTCTTTCAACAATTTGGAAACTATTATTTTGTCCTCTTGTAGAATCAGCACAGTGCAGGTGGGAGGGTGAACTGTAGATAAAGAGATTTACATTTCTCTCAAGTCAGGCTGTTACAGAGCTCAGCAAAAGCCCCCACATAATATAACCAGCCCAGAGGTCACTTCTACATTACACCACTTTGCAAGGCAATTTGGTAGAGCACGCTTCAAGTGGTTGTGAAGTGCCACTGGGTGTAGCAACTATGTCAAGGCCAGGAGATTCTTTACAGTGGCCCAGTGCAGGGTCACTATGAGATGACTTTCTGCTCATCCTCTTGCATTCTCACAGTCTGTGCACAGTCGGTGGATGCACAGATGGTGCAGAGGAGGAATGAGAGGACAAACTCAGGCGAATTATGCATGCTTCTCTCTCCCCTTCTATCTCTGACAAAAATTATTTGAAAAAAAGCTTCCTCTGCTTTGAATTCCCTCCAGTTTGTCTATTTGGATAATAAAATATCTTCCTATTCTTCAAATAATAAGTAACAGGTTACAGTATTTATATCTGTGAATATGTCTGGCAAGATTCCATCAGACAAATGTCATCTCAGATGCACAGAACTTTTTAGCTCAGCTGCTGGACAGCAAAATAATGTCAGTCAGAAAGTAGAAAAGTTTGTTTAGTTAGGTAATTTAGAGTCAAGTCTCTGTAGCCATCTGCCATAGGGGCTAGATTTATGAAAACACTGTGGCAAACTTGGAACAGTGTTGCCCAATATGAATTACCCCTCCTGTATAAATATTACTTGTGATGATTTGTGTCCTGTCTGTATTGATTTCATTGCTTGAGCTACGCTGCATACAAAGGGGCCTTTTCTGTTTGGTTAGAGGAGTTAGCATTGCCACAAAACAGTTGCTGATCATCCTGCAAACTATTCCAGTTGCAGATCCTCCTGGAAACGGTTCTGGGGCACATAGAAAATAAGAAAGTGATTGGTGACAGCCAACATGGCTTCACTAAAGTTAATTTGTGCCTGGATAATTTGGTGGCCTTCTATGACAGCGTTGTAGCACAGGTAGGTAAGGGAAGAGCAACTGACATCATCTACCTGGATTATGCAAAGCATCTGACACTGTCCCACACCACATCCTTGTCTTTAAATTGGAGACACATGGATTTGATGGATGGACCACTCGGTGGGTAAGGAATTGGCTGGATGGTCACACTCAGAGAGTTGTGATCAACGGCTCCATGTCCAAGTAGAGACCAGGAACAAGTGACGTTCCTCAGGGGCCAGGGTTGGGACCGGCGCTGTTTAACATCTTTGTTGGTGACATGGACAGTGGGATCAAGGCACCCTATGCAAGTTCATCGATGACACCAAGCTGTGTGGTGCAGTGACACACTGGAGGGAAGGGATGTGCCATCCAGAGGGACCTGGACAGGCTGGAGAGGTGGGACCGTGCAAACCTCATGGAGTTCAACAAGGCCAAGTTCAAGGTCCTGAACATGGGTCTGGGCAATCCCAAGCACAAATACAGGCTGGGCAAGGAGTGGATTGAGAGCAGCCCTGCAGAGAAGGACTTGGAGGTATCAGTGGATGGAAAACTGACTGTGAGCCAGCAATGTGTACTTGCAGCCCAGAAAGCCAACTGTGTCCCGGACTGCATCAAGAGAAGGTGGCTTGACCTCCTGGACACACCACCTATGTCCAGGAGGTCAAGGCAGGGGATTCTGCCCCTCTATTCTGGTCTTGTGAGACCCCACGGACTGCTCAAGTGGGTCCAGAGAAGGCCACAAAGATCATCAGGGGGCAGGAGCACCTTCCGTATGAGGACAAGCTGAGAGAGTTGGGGGTGTTCAGCCTGGAGAAGAAAAGGCTCCAGGGAGATCTTATAGCGGCCTTTCAGTACTTAAAGGGGCTACAGGAAGGATGGGGAGGGACTTTTTATCAGGGAGTGTAAGGATAGGACGAGGGGTAACAGTTTTAAACTGACAGAGGGTAGATTTAGATTAGATATAAGGATGAAATTCTTTATTGTGAGTGTGTTGAGACACTGGCCCAGGTTGCCCAGAGCAGCTGTGGCTGCCCCCTCCCTGGAAGGGTTCAAGGCCAGGTTGGATGGGGCTTTGGGCAACCTTGGCTAGTGGAAAGTGTGCCTGCCTGTGAGACTAGATGAGCTTTAAGGTCCCTTCCAACATAAACCATT